AGTATGGCTAGAAAATCATGAAGTGATTTTCATATGGGCTCAAGGAATGTTTTGTGACTACATAATCAAACCACATATATGACATGCTTTAGAGCATTATGGGAGTATGGGACATTTTAAGCACTTCCTGACAAAATATATACTGTGAATCACAATCAGTGTATACCAAAATATTACTGAATCCCCTTGGGTCATGAGTTAGTCTGAGAAAGGGCAAATTATGCACTTGACTTGAACTGTTCTATAGGGTCTTTTTCATGCCTGGCCCTTAAAGAGCTAACCAACCTAGCTTTAGGATCCAGAGAGTTTAATCTAGTAGCACAACTCCTCATATCCAAATTTGGGGAAGGCTCCAAGTGGACCCTCCCACTCCATGAAGGATGTCTCCATGCAGGGTCTAACATCTGGCTCCAGAGTGGTTCCTGAAGCCCTGGAAACTCTGGGAAAGACATGTCTCAAATTGTATTTGCCAATGATTTCTGCAACAGTCATTGTATTATAGAAGTTGCCACTGGGAAGACTTGTGGACAAAAACACAAGCCAGTGGCAGCAATTAAAAAAAAAAACAAAAAAAAAACCTTTGATTTTATTGCTGCCACTGGCTTGTGTTTTGGTCCACAAGTCTTCCCAGTGGCAACTTCTATAATACAATGACTGTTGCAGAAATCATTGGCAAATACAATTAAAAGCATAAAGCAGTACTTTCAACCATACTATGTTGCTGTTGTTGTTAAGTGACACTGAGTCGGTTCCAACACAAGGTGACCCTGTATAGGGTTTCCAAGGAGTGGCTGGTGAGCTTGAACTGCCAACACTGTTGTTCGAACCGACTTTGCAGTCCAGTGCATTAACCCACAGTGCCACACCAATGAACCCAATTATAGTCTTTAAAAAACAAGCAAAGCAATCAAGAACTATTGAGAAAACTAAGTTAAGTGATTTATGCTAAATAAATAGGAGATACATTTTCTACAAACATAAATATATACTAAAAAAGAAATCGGATAAAGGAATCCATATGGTACCTACTTTATGTCAGGCCCAATAAGAGAATGTCTTCTCAGCATGGCTCGTGCCTGGGCATTGGTTAAACTGAGTGTAGATTCTTCATTAATGGACAAGATGCAATCACCAACAGCAATCCGGCCATCTCGACTGATGGCACCACCATGAATAATACTTCGAACAATCACCCCCAAGCCATCTTTATTAGCGCTTACTGTCATCCCTATGGTAAACAGATATAAAGATATGTATTTTTTGTTGTTGTTGTTAAGCGCCATCGAGTTGGTTCTGGCCCACAGCAACCCTGTATACGGTTTCCAAGGAGCAGCTAGTGAGCTTGAGCCCACAGTGCCACACCAAAGACTCCAAAGATATGTATTAAATACCTTGAATTTTAAATCTGTTTTACTTTGGATTCAATTGTTGTTGTTAAGTGTCATAAAGTCGGTTCTGACTCATAGTGACCCTGTATAGGGATTCCAAGGAAAGGCTGGTGAGTTTGAACTGTCAACCTTGTGGTTCAAACTGACCTTTTGGTCCAGTGTTTTATCCAAAAGTGCCACAACAAGACCTATGAATTCATTTTCAATACCTACTGAAAAAAAATTAAAGAAAAACTACCTTTCTAGCTATTAATTCTGTTGTGGTTCAATGTCATTGAGTATATTTAGACTCAGTGGTCCTACAGTGACTCAGTAGAAGAGAGAAGAATTATACTATAATCTTTACGAGACCAGAGTGTCAAGTCCTTTCTCTTGGAAAGTCACTGTGTGGGCACCAACATTTGGATTTTCAGCTGAGTTTTTGAACATTGTGCTAAATTAGATGCAATATTGTAAACATTTTTAAAGAACAATCTTGATTATGATATGTTTCTAGCCTAGTATTTCAGGACAGTCAATGAGAAAGAAGGCTCCTGATGTTATTTATTAACAGAAACGAACCATGCCCAAAAGTATTTCAAATATGCTGTTAAGACTCAAACTAATGATTTTAAAACACATTGTGATTCAGAGGACACCCTTGTTAGCACAAACCAACAAACACATAATTCTTTCCCAAGTGGATTTCTCATGATGAAAGATACAGGTTTTGAAATGTTTAGGTAGATATTCTAATTTCACCAATATCTTCTAAGATCCTCTACGATGGTTAAGACTGAAATGTGTAACTTCCCCCAAACTAACTCACTGGCCCATACCGGGAACCTAACCCACCATCTTGTCCTCATTAGTACTAGACACTTTTCATCATAAACTCTGGTCAACATGGAGCCAAACAAAATGAAGTCTTTGACTACTTCAGTCTTTTATCCATTTATCATGCTGTTATTCAATGGTCTAATTTTGAGTATATTTGTTTTCTTTACATTTAGGTGCAATCAATACTGCAGGTTGTAGTCTTTGATTTGTAGACTTAAAATACTTTCTTTTCCCAAGAAAGTATTTTAAGTCCACTTCACCTGTAGCAAGCAAGGTTGTATCATTTGCATATCACAGGTTGTTAATGAGTCTTGCTTTAATCTCATGCCATGTTCTTCATATAATCCAGTTTCTCAGATTATTTGCTCACAACCCTGATGCACACCTTTACTGATTTTAGGCCACTAAGTAATCCTTTCTTTGGAATCGGTACAAACATGGATCTCTTCTAGTCAGTTGGTCAGGTGTCTGTTGTAAAAATGTCTTGGCATAGACTAGTGAGCACCTCCAGGGCTGAATCAGTTTGCTGAAACATTTCAATTTGGATTCCATAAATTTCTGAAGTCTGTTTTTCACCAGTGCCTTCAGTGCAGTTAGCTCTCTGTTTTGTTCAAGTGCTTAATTAAGCAACGTGCTTTTAAAATGAAAACTTAAAAGCTGACTATGGCATGATTTGAACTCAAAATTGTATTGCAAGTCATTGCTAATGTCAATAAAGGAAAAAGGAAAAACAACAACACATCAAATACAAAATAAATTTGTTTGCCTATCTTTCACATTCAAAAGCATTAAATCTCACCCACTTCAGTTTTCAGTGAAATTAATTTATGAGTGCAAACTTTCACCATATCAATTTAAGAATAAAAACTAAATGGAATGAAAAAAACAACAACAAAGATAGGAAAATATTGAAAAATGTCATTCTACTTCACAATAATGCAGATGATACCACAAGAGAATGGATCCCTGGTGTAGGTATGATAAGCAATGGATTGTAAGGTCGTTTACCCTACAAGGTCAGCAGTTCAAATCTACCAGCCACACCTCAGAAACCCTATACAAGGTTGCTATGAGTCAAACCGACCCCAAAGGACTTAACAACAACAACAAACAGAGAATAGAATAATGTGACATAATTTACATGGGACTATATGGTAGCGTAGTGGTTACGAATCGGGCTGCGAACTGCAAGGTCAGCAGTTCGAAACTACCAGCTGCTCCGCGGGAGACGGATGAGGCGTTCTGCTCCTGTAAAGATTAACAGCCTCGGAAACCCTGTGCAGGGTCGCTATGAGTCGGAACAAACTCCACGGCACATAACATCAACAACAACATATTTTATCAGAGTTAACAGGCCTGCTGTTAAAGCTTCTTGTTGTTGAGTGCCATTGAGTTGGTTCCGACTCATAGCGACCCTGCAGTCCAGCGCATTAACCTGCAGAGCTGCACCAGGACGCTAAAGAAAGGTTGTTGTTGTAGCTGTTAAGTGCCATCAAGCCAGCTCCATCCCACAGCAACCCGTGTAGGGTTTCCGAGTTGCAGCTGGTGAGCTTGAACCACCGAAATTTTGGTTCAAACCTACTTTGCAGTCTAGCTCATTAGCCCACAGAAGCACACCAGGATCTGCTGACTATAACAAATATATGCAAAGACAGTCTCTCCTTATAACTTTGTTGAAGGAGAGTCCTAGGCTACTATCAGTTAAGTACTATTCCCTGACTGGAGGTACTGATATCATATCAAATAGGGTAACCATCTGCTCAGATTGTAGCCTGCTGTTGTAGTTAAGGGCTATGGAGTTGGTTCTGACTCACAGCGATCCTACATAGTGTTTATGTAGAACCACCAACCTTTCAGTTCGCAGATCTACAGCTTATCCTACAGTGCCACACCAAAATGCAACCTAGTTGGAATTTAAAAATACACGGAGATACTTAAGCCCATTCAATCCCACCAGCCTCATCTTAAAAACCCCACAAAGGGTCTCTATGAGTCAGAACCGATTCTATGGTACTTAACAACAACAACAACAAAAGACCATTCTGGGACTCCTGGTATGGTTCTGTAGGATAAGCACTGAACTCCTACTGGAAAGGTAGGCACTTCAAACCCACCAGCTGCTGCTTGGAAACCAATATGAATTGCAACTGATTCAATGGCACTTAACAATAACAGGACCACTGTGTTTTCCATGTAAAATCGTGATTGTAACAAAAGAATATATGTTACTTAAAATGCAAAAATGACCTGCTTAGAATTGTAGATCAGAAATGAATGAATTGGCCAAGTACTATTCTCTGTGTTGGCATTATTTCTTGGTTGGTTACATCCCAGAAGGTGCAGACTCTGTTATCAAGTTAACTAAGTGTCTTGTAATATATTAGGGCATTTGGAGCAACTGATCTATGAACCTGTTTCTTAGTCTGCAGAACCAGGGACGTAGCTGTGTAACTCATAGAGGGGACAAACAGTTTTACTTATGGCATTTAGGATTTTACTTTGATGGGAAGTCTTCTTCGTGCAAACAGAGGGTTCCAACCACTACACTTTATGGGTAACAGCGGACACAAAACTGCCACCTGGAACAACGACTGAATAACTTGCATTTATATTTTGGTGGTGGCACACCTGGCAGTCTCTTTAGTCTTTATTCCAGTGAATGAAGGAAATTAGATACAAACTGACTTATGCATAACGGGTAACATTCAAAGAAACTAATAATTTACTTTTGCAAAGAATTTAGAATTCCAAATTGCTAACTTTTCATTTTCTAAGAATCCCTTTTCTGATTTGCTGTTTCACATACAAACAATTTGTATATCTTTTACTTGAATGTAAATGAGATTTGTGAATACTTTTAAATAATTAGGAGACTGGGGAATTCAAGCTTGACTGAAATAAACAAGGCTGTTAACCATTTTTGAGGAGAAAAATGAGAATATAAAAAAAAAGACCAAATAATGGGCATGAAATTTTTGATTATCTATTTTCTTAGCTTTAGGAAAAAAATATTGAATGAACACTTCCCCCATGTTCACTATTTCATGTGCCTAAGGACACTGAGTGAGTGGCTATACGTTGAAAATAAGGAACTTACCTAGGCTAGAATTGCCTTTTGCTATGTTGATAGTTCTCTCAAAAGATCCGTTCGATGCATTTGGGAGCATAGCACATTCAACAGGAGAGGCGAGAGGGTTCTGTTCAAGTAAGTACTCAGAGCTCTGACAGAAAGAAAGGAAAAGTCACATGGAAAGGAAAACTAGACTTTGGAGTGTGATTTCAACATCTCCTATGTTCTTCAATTGGCTGTGCTTTTTTTCAGCAAGAACATATTACCAAAATGAGTTCATTTGTTGTCTTTGGATAATCCCAGAGTCAGGAGTACACTCTTTGCATATGATTACATTGGGCAGACAACATTTACTCTTCACTTCCCCCTTCCCCAAAATGATCTTGGAAACGTTACCTTTCTAGTTGAATCAGAGAGCACTGAAGAACAGTGCTCTGCATTTGATAGAACTTCATTTGAGAGCTGAGACTCAGTCCAAGCTACTGTGTTTTCACATCTGTATTGTTGCTCAATAGCATTTGCAGGTGTGAAATCATTTAAGGTAAAGCCAGCAGCAGACCCCATGCTCAAGTCCACTGCAGGCATATTCTCGTTCTGTCTTTGCAGGAGACTCTGAGCATATAATTCCTCCAAGGACATCTGCAGGTCAAATACTGGATCTGAAGACTTTTCAGCAACATTCTGTTATGAGAGAATTTTCAAAAACCAAGAATCATAATCAGAATTCCATGAATGTGTTTTGTAAGACTGCTTATTAATGACGGAAATGCAATGATTTACCACTCAAAAGAGATGAACAAACATGGAACCTCTTCACTCAGACTTCCCACAAAATATTTTTGTTTTCATGAATGCTGTGTAAAGGTATGTCCTGAAAATCATATAGCTCAGGTTGTACTGAGTTACATATATGAAGTATACTCTTTGTAAGACCTAGAGAAAAAAAATAAGTTCTACCTGCAACTAAAATTATTCAGATTTCAAACTATATAAAGAAGTAAGTTATATTTCCAAATCTCACTTAAAGTAAGGATTATTCCAATCAGTCTCAAGTAGTTCTTATTTATAATGAGATCTAGAGTCCTGGTGTGGGGCTGTAGGAAAAGCACTGAAATCTAACCATAAGGTCGGCAGTTCAAACCCACCAGCTGCTCCTCAGTAAACCCTATGCAGGGTCACAGTGAGTGGGAACTGAATTCATGGCACTTAACAACAACAACAACATGAGACCTAGACCATAAAGACTCTGGCACTTATTGATTCAGATTAATAAGAACTTCCAAGAGAATATGATTGGCATCTATGCACAAGGAAAAGAGGCCATATAATTTATTTATAATAATCTAAATTATATGGCTTCTTTTTCTTGTGCATAGATGCCTATCATGTTATAGGAAAGAGCTCATAAAGATTCCGGAAGATAAAACAGAGGGAACACTAAGATGGAATATCTTGCTTCCTTTGGATGTATCAACAGGAAGACAATATGTAGTGAAGGAGAGTGCCAACAAAGGCAAGGGAAACCCACTGTCAGAGCGACCGGCATAATTGTCACAATGATGAGTCACAACGATGGGCTTGAACATGCTGATGATTGTCAAGATGACACAGAATCAGGCAGCACTTTGTTCAGTTGTATACAGGCCTGTATGAGTCGCCACTATCGCTCAATTGATCAAAGAACAGATAACTAATAGATATATAGGTATACATATACATACACAATTTGTAACCCTAAAAAGAATCATGCAATCAAAAATTCTTACTAGATCTTATGCAGTATCTTTATATCTTGATATGAGAGATTTCCATGTCAAGAAAATAGAAGTCAATTTTGAGTTTCTTAGGGCTACACAATATTCCTAAGTACAGAAGACAGGGGAGTGTAGCTCTGTGCCAGGGTTCGTATCTCTGTGTTTACATCCTTGCTCCACTGAAAGTGAATTGTGTGAGTATTTGAAAGTTACTTAAATATTCATCTATAAACTGGAGAAAATCATAGGACCAATAGGAGCCTCTGGGTGGTGCAGGTGGTTAAACACTGGACTACTAGCAGACTCACACATTTGTTGTTGTTAGGTGCTGTCCAGTCATTTCTGACTCTCAGTGTCCTTATGGACAACAGAATACAACACTGCCCAGTATTACACTATTCTCACAATTGTTCTTATGTTTGAACCCATTGCTGCTGCCACTGGCCATTCCATCTCACTGGGGAAGCCTTCCTCTATTTTGCCGATCCTCCACTTTACCAAGCTAAATGTCCTCCGCCAGGCACTGGTACCTCCTGATAACATGTCAGAAGTATGAGAGACGAAATCTGGCTATTCTGGCTTCTAAAGAGCCTTCTGGATGTATCCAGTAGCACTCAGAAAGACAAGTCTGGAGAGCTACTTTTAAAAGGCCACAGCCTTGAAAATTCCTACAGAGCACAGTTCTACTTGGACACACAAAGTTGCAATGAGTTGGAATTGACGCAACAGCAGCTACAAACAACAACAATAATCATAGGATTGCCAAGGTCAGAAAACGAGTATCTGCAGAATCCTAACAACTGGCCTGAATTAATAGGCAATGCCCAGTTAATGATAGCCACTGATGTTATTTTATGAAACATTGTGCATATGTGTGAAAATGTACTTCTTATGAACTCCTAGATTTAGAGTTGTATGTCAAATGATAACCCACCATAAAATGTTGGTTTTTTTTTGTGGTTGTTAAGTACTGTCAAGTCAGTTTGACTCATAACAACCTAGTCTAGGGTTTGTGGGGAGCTGATCTCGTGGTCCAATGCATTATCCTGCAGTACCACACCATGACTACTAAAAGTTAATATATAGTTCCAAATTGTCTTCCCATTTCCACTAGAGAAAACAGAGTATGGGATAGCCATTATTCATCTTGCCATGATCTATGTGGCGATCTGATCTGTAAGAAATATAGTCAGCAGTGTTTTCTCTGTGTGTCCTTGATTCTATTGAGGATCTACCATTTGTATATCTTCTCCTCTGACCATTCTCTTCATATGTCTTATCAAACTCTCTAGGAGGTTTATTGTTACATGTTTTTATCATTTACATTCTGTAAATATAAAGGTGTTGCTATAATAGATGGTGCAAATACTTTCCCAGTCTGACATTGATATATTTTTTTTTGGGGGGGGGGGATGTTTCTGTAAAGGTTTTTATTTGTGGGGGGGGGCACAGTGGACAGGGACCTGCTTGGTCCGTCTTGGCAGCCGCTTTCCTCATGGCGGCCAGGACATTGCTGAGCTCCTCTCGCTTCCTCTAGGCACGGATGTGCATCCCCACCCTTTTCTTGATGAACTTGAGTGCCTGCTTGTCCTTGGGGACCCTGAACAGCTCCATGGCCCGGCGCTCATAAGGCGCAAAGCCACACACCTCCCAGATCATGTCCCACACGAACTTGGTGTGCTTGGTGAGGCGCCCACGGTGGCGTCTGTGCCTAAGTTTGCTCACGTTCTTGGTTACTTTGTGGCCCTTGTTGAGGCGTTCACACAGCCGTGGCTGCTTCTCTTCAATGGCTGCTGAGGCTGGAGACTGACATTGATTTTTAAATTCTGTATATATTACAGTTTTATGTCTAACATTCGTCGGCCCATTTGTCAACAAACACGGCTTATGTGTTCCTGTGGTGCTGGAAGCTATGCCACCAGTATTTTCAATACCAGCAGGGTCATCCATGGTGGACAGGTTTCAACAGAGGTTGAAACCACAATAAGTATACTAGGCAGAAGGAGAGGTGGACCTTTATGAATTGGTTAGCCACTAAAACCTTAAGAGTATCAGTGGAACCCTGTCAGAATTAGACCTGGATGATGAGCCTCTCAGGTTGGAAGACACTCAAAATACGACTAGGTAAGGTCTGCCTCCTCAAAGTAGAGTTGATCACAATGATATGAATGGAGTAAAGCTTTTGAGACATTCATTTGCTGATGGGGTACAACTCAAAAATGAGGAGCAACAGCTGCAACATCTAATAATAATCAGAACGTTGAATGTACGAAGTATGAATCTAGGAACTTTGAATGTTGTCAAAACGAAATGTACCACATATAAATCGGTATGCTAGGCATTGTTGTTGTTGTTGTGCCGTTGAGTCGGTACCAACTCATAGCAACATTATGCACAACAGAATGAAACACTGCTTGATCCTGCACCAGTCTCACAATCATTGCTATCCTTGAGGCCACTGCTGCGGTCACTGTGTCAACCCATCTCATTGGGGTCTTCCTCTTTTTCGCTGATCCTCTACTTTACCAAGCAAGATGTCTTTCTCCAGGGATTGGCGCCTCCTGATAATATGTCCGAAGTATGAGAGACAAAGTCTGGACATCTTGACTTCTAAGGAGCATTCTGGCTGTACTTTTGCCAGCACAGATTGGTTTCTTCTTCTGGAAGTCCGTGATACTTTTAATATTCTCCTCCAACACCATAGCTCAAATGCATCAATTCTTCTATTTGTTGTCCAACTTTCACATAAATATGAAGTTATTGAAAATACCATGGTTTGAATCAGGCACACCTTAGTCTTCAAACTGAAATCTTTGCTCTTGAAACATTTTACAGAGGTCTTGTGTAGCAGATTTGCCTAATAAAATACATTTTTTAAATTTGACTCCTGTTTCTACCAGTCTTGACCTCCACCTTCCTTGCCTGTTTACATGCCCCAAATATGAGCAGGTTGTTATCATGAGTCCTGAATCAGCCCCGACACATGGGCCAACCCCAGTGTCCCGGCTCCCAGCTGGCCATAGGGCCTGCCCCATGGAGCTCCCTGTCACCCCGGACTAATGGGAACCAGATGGCCATCGGGTGACTCAGCCAGCAGCTGGCCTGTGGGAACCCAGGCATCCTGCCTTCCCAGGCCCCCACAACAACTCAGATTTCCCCAAAACATAGAAAAAGAGAGAAGGAACTGGCCACGGAACAGGTCAAGGGCCAACAAAGCAGCACCTGGAGACCCTGCAATCCTGTTAAAAACACCTCCTCAGGCACACAGCCCAGAGTGGGGAAGACCCCACGGTCTCCTGGGACCTTGGCTCCTCGCCCCCAGCTTCAGCTCTGCCTACTGGATTGGCCAGAATTAGAGGCAAACACAGAGAAATGAGCAGGGCGAGGAAGGGCTGTTCAGATGGGGGCACCAGCAAGTCACCTCAGGTAGGGTGACCGGGTACTTCTGTCTTCTGCCGGCTCTGTGCCAGGGACCTATGAACTGGGAATGATTAGCTCCACTTAACAGATGGAGCCAGCCATCAGAAGCTAAGCTGAGACACCGTGCACCCAGGTGTCTATAAAATCATGCTGGTCCTAGAAACTGCTCTACTAGCCCGTTTGCAGGTATCAGGGGTCACCCAGGGCTAGGCAGATGTACAGTACACAGACAGACTTCCTCAGATGGAAAGATTCACAAAGCACTAGATATTTCAGATAACAACAGCGAAGATCTCACCCCACAACCATCCTACACACAGTGGGTGGCTATGCTACTGAATTATCCCAGTATCCCCATGAGGTAGTACATCAGCCTCTATCCCATCTCCCTGAGGAAACAGCAAGACCCAAGGCTGCGCTCTGAGATCCGTGGAGAGTAATGCGTGATGTTTGTTTCTTAGGTATTCATGTCTGTGCCATCAATCTGTAAGGCTGCACACTGAAGGT